GGCAAAACGGTTACCATTTGCTCAACTGAACGGCCAAGGGCCCCAGAGACAGCCGAGAATCACTTGCAGCAAACTCTGGATAGATTCTGCTCTCCAAACTCGAGTTATACCCTGCCGAAGCTCAGTCCGCTGGCATAGGATTGGGAACGTAGGAGACACTGTCTGCCGCCGGTGCCTCCACAACCCGAAAGGATAAGCAGTCGTCGATACTGACTGGCTAATTATGTCTAATTTTACGGCATATTACATCATTCTAGTTCAGTGTGCTTAGCTGCTATCCATCGGACGTGTCTCAGAGTTGCGGACAGGAAAACGACCTCCAGACATGGAGGTTAGCTGCAAAAAATATACAGTCGTGGAGAGGCAGCGGTGAGACCAGCAGAGTGTAGCTGGGTTCAAGCTCGACAAATTCGTTCCTTAGAAGAAAAAGTCACAATTGTTAATGACAGTCTCACGAAGGGGCGAAAGCGACCTGTCTCTCTAAACAGATGCCCCCTCGTCAAACGCTAGATCACTAAAATGAGAAAAACTGGACGGAACTGGGGAATCCGGCTGTACGAAATTCCTAAGGTAACCGTCAGCCTTGCCAGTGGGTGGCAGAACTTCAAGTTCTATGACATTCATGGGCTGCAGGAGCAATTATATATCCAGGTTGCATCAATACCGGCTTAAATGGTCCTTCGCGTCTAGAAGAGTAAAAGCAGTGCAATATTGCTGTAAAAACTGAGAAATGGCAGGAAAAATATAAATGCAGTTAGAATAACGAAAATCTGTACAACAGACACATTTTCAGAAAACGTCATCAATATTTAAATGCAACAAATGAATATCTCTAAGTGAAAAGTTTTGAGAATCAAACGACCCATTCATGACGAACCATAAAAAAGATCTGTCCCTGAAAAACTTACGCAAATCATTGCGTTGATCCTTTCTATTTCGTCTGCCTTGACATCGCCGGAAGCGCGAAACGGAAACCAGGTCGACTGGCCTATGCTCGTGATGTGCTGAATGCAGTTGACTAGCCTGAAAGCAGAATTACGTAGCTAGTCGCAAACATCGACTGAAAAGCTGTTCGATTACGTAGGGTAATCGTTAATGGCGTCAATGTTGAGAATCTTCAAAATTCGTTGTAAGCACATCACCAACGGTCTTTTGACGCATGTTTTCGTGACTTGCTCGAATAGGCGCATGCCGCCATGATCGTTCAGCATCGTAGCGCTGAAGAACAAACGCAAACTTATTACTCCGGACTGGCAAAAACCCAGAGCTGACAGACTTACTCAGAAACATACAGCATGAAGTTTACGAAACTCGAAAACGCTTCCATGTTACTACACTCATAATCGCAGAATGTCACCAATCGACCATTTTCTTCATCAGATTCAACGTCATGGACGAAACTGTCGGTGATTCGGATCGCCAAGCGCCAATGAAACTCATTCAG